AACTTTGCAGCATTAGGTGTTCAGGTATTCATGGGGTGGGCTGAGGTGGTCACTTGTCCAGGTGTTAAGATATTCCGAAGAACCCAGTAGAGAGCTTCTGTTAGATAGTAAGGTAAGTTGGGATGGGAATACCTGCCCAGGTGAGCGACCTGAGTTAAAGGTATGTATCTTGCCTGCAGGCTCTTTTGTGGGGGCTTCTGTTGATATATCCAGGTGTCCTTAGAGACTGAGTAGTGGGCACCTGTGCTGGGCTGTGCAGCAACTGTGCAGCTGTGGAAGATTGGGGGCTGGCCTTGAGGGGACACTAACTGGCTGGCGGAGGATGGGAGTTTAGGGCACCTGTGCCCCTGTAGGGGACCACTTGCAGGTTGTGGTAGGGGCGTGGTAGGGCGGTCCTGGGACAGGTTACCTGTCCCGTGGATGTAGCTGTGAACTGAAAGCTGCCCAGCATCATACGCAGCAGTGACAGGAATTCCTTGTTCTCATAATCGAAGCGGTCCCCAAAGACAATGGAGCTGATGACATTGGAGACTGTTCGGCTCAGGAAGAAGGTGGGATCCACGAGGGCGCCTGCGGGGTGGGGGCGGGGCGGGCGCAGGGAGAGAAGGGAATGGGAGGGAGGGGTGAACTGGGCGGGCTGATGCCAGTCTGAGAAGGGAACGGCTGGGACAGGCTGGCAGCATTTGGCGGGAGTAAGATTGCCAGCCCTCACATAGCTGAATATAGGCTTCTTCAAGATGTGGGCTGCTGTACTGTCTAGATGCCAGTTTTTAGAGACCAATAAAAAATGTCATATGGAATGGACAAAAATAAATTTCATAAAAATGGGCTCTGAAATTTCCCCATCTCTGCATAGGGGCATATCTGCCGTTCCCGTATATTGAACGTGGAGATACCAGGTTTATCGCTTGGGGCTTTGAGCGTATGGGAGCTTGGCACTCTGGCTCAAAGGGTCGGAATTCTCAAAGGCAGCTCCAAGGCTGGAGATAGGATACCGGCTACCCTCACTCGCGTGAGGAGCGAAAGGACGCCCCAAATGTGTGAGCGTCCGAAAGCTCTGGAGTTCTGGCCTGAGCGTCTTACCAACTCCCCGAGGAAGGGAATCAAAAAGAGAAGCCCGAGGTCCACACTATTATCCCTTTTTTTTCTTTACCCCGCCCTTCTCGCTCCCAGGAACGTGCTGGGCGATTAAATCTCGGGGGGTTGGACGAAGGACTTGTGGGTCCTCTGAGCACGGAGCCAGCATGAGGGAAACTTCGGTGCCCTGGTGGGGAGTGAGGAAAGCGTATTTGTTAAGAAGGGTCGAGGGGCGCTGGTGTCCTTGCGAAGGCATATAGTGATCATGTGAGAGAGGGTAGTGTCCGGGATATCCAGAGCGCAATAGAATTAGGACTGGAGACTGGAGGGTCTAAGGGCAGACTATTGGAGGCGAACTCAAGGTATATTAGTCTACAGAACAGGAAATAATAGAATTTGGGGACATGAGAGGTGATTCCCCGTAGCAAGCAAAAATATTATCCTGGGTAGACATAGGATTTCCGAGTTGTGGTGGGAGGTTTTGAAGTGGACATTTTGATTTAAGAGTAGTGAGGAGTCTGCACTGCATGGAGGACTGGACAGGGTTCCGGAGAACTCATCCGACATGATGCTGAACCAGAGTGGTTGTAGGACCCTCTCGGCTTAGTGTGGGGCCGTACCTTTAGAATGAAAGAAGTCCCGAAACTTGGTTACCTTGGTAGACCCTAGGCCGGGAGCAAACCCATTGGGATCATTGACCAAATCAATTTGGATCTCGTGGATGCAATTCTAAGATGCACATGCGAGACTCCGTGTAGGGCATTTGGCCCGGTCCTCGACTTAGGGCTATCCGGTTATATTGCCTGAGATGACAACACGACAATCTCTCATGGACCTTGGCTGAGGGAGGAGGATATGCTTAGGCGTGCTAGGGATATCTCAGACAGGGACGTGGTAAGTCCAAATAGGTATAAAAGGTGATGGATTACCGGATCTGTTTGGCATGAGAGTTAACATTCAAATGACGTGGCCATAATGCAATTTTAGAGCAGGGTCCTGAATTAGACAACTGGGTCATGTAGAATATGGGGGCGAGCGTACAAGCAATAGTTAGTGAATCTTAGGTGATCCATGGTCTGAGGAGCTAGAGCAGTGGATGAGTCCACTGTGGAACTTAGCACCGGGAAGTGGATTTTACCATGAAGTTCAGACAATTTCAGTATCTAGCAGCTAGTGAGACTCAGCTGATCCTATGAGTCATACGACTTATCGCTCCTGACTCTGGAGACATTTCAGTGTGGTGAGGTCATGGAATATGAGGTAAGGGGTGGGGTACCATTGCTACGGCTCAGGAGCCTTTTTGAATGGAGTCTGTGTTCTCTACTTTTTATGACTCGTCTACCCCTCCTACCTACCTTTCCTGACATCCGAAATCGTCTGTGATTTACGAATGAGCAGTCAGAAGCATAGCGCAGGTTGCTACGGATCTCCAGTGCTCCCGAAGAAAGGTTCAGCGTGGTCAGACACAGTAGGATTACATTCATGTAGAACTCCGTGTTGGTTTCCTTCTTCTCCTGCAGGGAGAACAGCTTAGTAGCTGACTTATAGAATCCCATCGACCCCCTTTGGGACCCTCTCAGAGTTCTTTCCTATGGTATCCTACCCTCTTCTTAGACCCAGAACAACCGGGTGGTAAAAAGGATCTAGACCACACGAGGACAATCTCTTCCAGAGTACTTTCCAGCCGTTAGTGCCCAGCTGCTGGCTCGCATGAAATGCCTTCATAAATCTCTTTGCCTGGCTACTGACCTAATATTAAGATCAGCCTAGTTGAAACGTGGATCACATAGAGATCCTATTACCTCGTCTCAAGTCTTGTAGACTCACTGAGAGGAGTAACCCACCTCCCTTGATTTCGCATTAATCCCGTGATTCCAACTAATATATATAGAAAAAATTAGCCGGGCATGGTGGCGCATGCCTGTAGTCCCAGCTACTCGGGAGGCTGAGGCAGTAGGATCACTTGACCTTAGGAGTTTGAGGTTGCTGTGAGCTAGGCTGACGCCACGGCATTCACTCTAACCTGGGCAGCAAAGTGAGACTCTGTCTCAAAAAAAAAAAAGAAAAAGAAAAAGAAAAGTTCCACTTAGCACAGCCTCAGGCATGGAGAAGCTCAACCCCTGGAGTTGTTCTCATTTCTAGGTACTGAAGCTCTTCCTTGTCCCCTGGACTGTCCCCACCTTGATCTTCCTTATGCAGCCCTTCCTTGAGAGTTTTGGTTCAAGGGTCCAAGAAGAAGATGACATCCCAGAGGCAAAGCCCACACAGTTAGGGTATGTGAGGGACATTCATCTGTTTGTTCTCAGACCCACTCCTTCCCCTTCTTTCCTATCACAAAGGACTGACACAGCAACTAATTTTGCCTTGAGGGAGGAGATGTAGGAGAACATGGCAATTTGGGTCCATTAGGAAAGGGTTTTGAGATCAGGACATGGGGATTTGGTGTACGTGGAAGTTTGGTGTCCTCTATTGTAGGAGGTTTTGGAAATGTGTATTGTTAGGAGGTCCTGAGGGAGGAAGTTTGGGATGAACATAGAGATTCTAGGCTGTGGAGGAGAATGCACTGTGGAGATTGGAGGGCTCTAGGGACCTTATCTTGGTAATGAGGAAATCTTCAATTTTGGTGTTCTTGCACACTCTGCAGTCCAAATCACTGTCCTCAAATCCCTGAACTTCTTGGTTAACAGACTTCATGTAGGGAACCTTGGTTGCCCTCAAATTTGTGTTCTGGCCCTGTAAATCCAGTGATCTCATCATAGACTTTGATTGGAGAAACAGAAGGAAGACAAGGTGATTTTTACTTTGAAAATGAGCCATGTGGGTGACCTGAGACCAAAGTGGATAATGAGGAGCTGAAAGCCACAGTGGACGTGAATCTGTCTCAACCTATGTGTGAATCAGCAGCGAGGTCTTATGCATGCAGGTTTTTGTGAGGATATAGGTCTTCAACTCATTTGGGTTGATACCAAAGAGCATAATGCTGCCTCACTGGCAAGAATATGTTTAGCTTTGTAAGAAACTGCCATGGGTCTTCCAAAGTGACTGCACCATTTTGCATTCCCACCAGCAATGAATGAGCGTCCCTGTTGCTTCACCTCCTGGCCGGCATTGGTCAGTGGTTTGGATTTTAGCCATTCTAACAGGTGTGTGCAGTGCTATCTTGTTTTAATTTGAAATTTCTGGCGACATAGAGCATCTTTTCATATGTTTACTTGCTAAGTGTATTTCTTTGAGGTGTATGTTCAGATATCTTTTGTCCATTGTTATTTTATTTGTTTGTTTGTTTTTCTGAGTTTCACTCAGTCTCACTCTGTTGCCCAGGCTAGAGTACTGTGGCATCAGCCTAGCTCACAGCAACCTCAAACTCCTGGGCTCAAGCGATCCTCCTGCCTCAGCCTCCCGAGTAGCTGGGACTGCAGGCATGCACCATCATGCCTGGCTAATTTTTTCTATATATTTTTAGTTGGCCAATTAATTTCTTTCTATTTTTAGTAGAGATAGGCTCCCACTCTTGCTCAGGCTGGTCTTGAACTCCTGATCCACCTGCCTCCGCCTCCCAGAGTGCTAGGATTACAGGTGTGAGCCACCGCCGGCCTGTCCATTGTTATTTAATAAATTGGGTTGTTAGTTTCTATTGTAGAGTTTGAACATTTCTTCATATGTTTGGAATACAAGTCCTTTATCAGATAGGTGCACTGCAAATATTTTCTCACACTTTGTGGCTTGTATTTTCATTCTCCTGACAATATTATTTGCAGAGCAGAAGTTTTTTAATTGTAATATCATGCCAAGCATCTATCAGGGTGAACTGAGTTCTGTTTCTCCTCCTCCCCCCGCCCGCCTCACCTTCCTCCCCCCCTCCCTCCTCACCTGCCCTCCTTCCTTAACCCCACCCCTCCCCCCGCCCTGCCTATGTCCCACCCCTCCCCATAAGCCCCGCCCATGAGCCCTGCCCCCACACAGCCCTAGCTCAGCGCTCAGCGAGGCAAGAAACTCATGGTGTAGTTTCTTGGGATGGTGGCAAAGCCCACGTGCTTGGGGGACACGTCGATGTCCTCAGGCGACTGCGGGGACTGGAAGCGGAAGTTCTGCAGGATGGTGGTGAGGAAGAGGAAGAGCTCCATCCGAGCCAGGCCTTCTCCAAAGCAGTAGCGCTTTCCTGAAGAGGAGAGGTGGCAGGGGAGGAGGTGAAGCCCACTCTCACTGCCGCCTCGCCCCGCTGCGGCCCTCCAGCTGCGATCTCCCAGGGAGACTTTGGGAGTCGGCTCTGAACCTGTCTGAGCCGCTTTCCCTTGCACGAGACGTGGGGGGTCTGGGCCAGGCTGCAGCAGTGGGAAGTTCAGGCGGCCCTCACTGCCAAATACGCTCTCAAATGTGGCTGCTGTGCTGTCCTCTCCTTTTTAGAGACCTGAAAAATGTGTGATATGACCTGGGACAAACCTCTCCTTAACTATGGGCCTTGATTTCCCCATCTCTGCAAGGGGCATGCCTTCCCTTTTGCCTGGGTACAGGTACTTGGGGCTTGGTAGCTATGGGAGCATCAGCTGCTTGGCTCAAGGGCGGATTCTAAGAGGCAGCTCCAGGCTGGAGAAGGATACCGGGCTACGCCTCGGTGAGGGCAGAGGCCGCCCCCTGTTGGTGCGAGCGGTGGCCTGAGGGTCTTACCAATGGAGAAGGGCACAAAAGCGTCACTCTTCTTAAACTGCCCCTTCTCGTCCAGGAAGTGCTGGGGATTAAAATCTCGGGGGTTGGAGAAGAACTTGGGGTCTCTGAGCACGGAGCCCAGCATAGGGAACACTTCGGTGCCCTGGTGGGGAGGGGGAAGGCGTATTTGTTAAGGGGGTTGAGGGCCTGGTGTCCTGAAGGTATACAGGGGACAGAGGGGGAGTGTGGGTTCCCCAGGGGAAGAGAAATGGGAAGCTTGGGAGCTGGGGTCCCCTAAGGGAGGAGCTTTGGGGCAACTAAGGTTCATGTCCCTCAGACAGGAAGTTTGGGGACATGGGGTTGATTCCTCTGACGCAAAAATTTCGGGGTGACATAGGATTCCCGAGTCTGTGAGTGGGAAGGTTGAAGGGACATGATGGTGTGGAAGTCTTTGATGGAGGGACTGGAACAGGGGTTGGAGAACTCATGGGGTTGGGGTGCTGGAGTTGGGGAACTCTCATGGGGATGGGGTGCTGGGGGCCCAGGGAGTGGTTGGAGTGGGGGCCATACCTTGGGGAGGAAGAAGTCCCGAAACTTGGTGTCCTTGGTGACCCTGCGGGCCAGGCCCATGGGGATCATGTCCCCAAATCTTTGGATCTCATGGATCACTGCCTCCGTGTAGGGCATTTTGGCCCGGTCCTCGAACTTGGGCTGCCGGTTCTTGCCGATGACCCGGTCAATCTCCTCATGGACCTTGGCTGGGGGAGGAGGAGGAATGTGCTTAGGCGCCTAGGGGTCTCAGAGCAGGGACGGGTAGTCCAAATAGGTAAAATGTGATGGATTACACGGATCTGTGTGTGGCATGAATGTAGAGCATTCAAAATAGACGTTGGCCATATGCATTTTTAGAGCAGGGTCCTGTTAACCTGGTCATGTCAGAATCATGGGGGACATGCAAAGTAGGAATCTTAGGTGATGGTCTGGAGGAGCAGGCAGTGAGCAGTCAGTGGACTTAGCACGGGAGTGATTTACCAATGAGTTCAGACAATTTCAGTATTCTAGCAGCTACTGAGACTCAGCTGATGCCTATGAGCTGACTATTGCCCTGACTCTGGAGAGCATTCTGTGTGTGAGGGTCCAGGGATCTGGGAGGGGCGGGGACATTGCACCAGGCTCAGAGCACTTTTGGGGGTCTGTGGTCCTCTACTACCCTCCCCTCTAGCCTTACCCTCCACATCCGGGTGTTTCATGAGCAGCAGGAAGCCATAGCGCAGGGTTGTGCTGACGGTCTCCGTGCCCGCGAAGAAGAGGTTCAGCGTGGTCAGCACCAGGTTCTTCATGTAGAACTCCGTGTTGGGGTTCTTCTTCTCCTGCAGGGGGAGACAGCTTTAGGCTGAACTTAGTCCCTATGCCCTTGGGACCCGTCTGGGCTTTTCCTATGGACCTACCTCTCTTAGATCCAGACCAAGGGTGGGAAAGGGAATCTAGATCCACACAGGCTCTCTCCAGGTTTCAGCCTTTGCCCCAGCTGCTGGCTCTGCCTGGAATGCTCATATTCTTTGCCTGGCTATCTGACCTTTAATTATCAGCCTAGTTGTCACTGTCCTATTCCTCCACTAAGCCTTGAAGCTCACTGGGGAAGAATCCCCTCCCTTGATCCTTTAACCCTGATCTCAGACTCCATAAAGCCCTCCCGCCTTCACAGATGGGAGACTGGCATGTCGAGGGAGGTGGGGTTCCTCCAATGTCACACAGTAAAGCCAGGTCACCTGTCTACACAGGCGTATCTGTACCCAGGGTATGAAAGTGAGAGAGCACGTGGCTAAAGGCACCAGACTGAGTCAGAGAGAGACCAGGATCCGAGCTAAGGTCTGCTGCTTCCTCAACTGTGTCACTCAGATAGCCACTTACACTCCTCCAGCCCATTTCCTCAGCATAAAATGGGAACACGATAGAACCTGTTTCAAGAGCTGTGCGAGTGCTAAACAGGTGCATGTCTTAAAGCACTCAACGCAGCGCCTGGTGCGTGGCCGTGCTGCAGAAGCGCTTGCTACTGTGATTCGCTTGCACAAGTCCTGCCCGCGGGCAAGGGCTGGGTAGGTGGAGGAGCGATGGTACTCGTGACTGTGCGCGATTGTGAAGATTGTTATGAAGGGGCTGATTTGAATGGGTCCTGTCAATTTCCCCATCCCCCCAGTCTCATTTCCCTCTGCTGGGCTTTGCCTCCCACGCTGGCTGCTGGGCTGTACCTCCTGCATGCGGATGAGGAAGGAGTCGATGAAGTCCCGTGGGAGTTGGGATCCAGTGTGCGCTGGTTGTGGCTGCCAACCTTCTTGGCTATGAAGTCTTCCAGTCCTTGCAGCTCCTTAAAGGCCTGTGCTGTGGTCCTGGCAGGTGTTTCATCACTGAATAGAACATCTCATAGAGCTGGGGGTTGGGAGAGAGGAAGCGAAGAAAGACACTTGTCAGTGAGCAGGACCTGATGGAACGGGACCTGTCTCAGGGCCAAGGAGGACACGCTGGGTAACAGGCACTGTCCAAGTTTCTAGGACAGCGTAGGTTGTGTCTCTGATGGAACAATATAAGAGTTTTCATGTAGGCTATTGTCATAGCCCATCTCACCTAACCTCTCACTTTAAGGTCAATGATATGGTGATAATGTCTAGCTTTTGATATTCAAGTGAGGCTGGATTTGGAGCCAGCACATTTAGATGTTCACATATTCCAATGGGGTTGAGGTGGAATGTGTATCACGTTACCTTGAGGTGGGACGCTGTGGTATGGTGGAGAGTCAACCTTGTCTAGGTGTTTAGGCATCGAGGTGGGCTTGGTTAATAACAGGTATCAGCCGGCGCGCGGTGGCTCACGGCTGTAACTCCTAGCTCTCTGTGAGGCCGAGGCGGCGGATTGGCTCGAAGGTCATGATTCGACAACCACCTGACAAGAGCGAGACCCCGTCTCCTACTAATACCAAGATAGAAAGAAAGTAATGGCCAATACTAATATATACACCCCCAACAACCCCATTAGCCGGATGGTGCAAGCCTCCCAGCTACTCGGAGGCTGAGGCAGGAGGATTGCTTGACCCAGAGAGTTTGAGGTGTGTGTGAGCTAGGCTGACGCCATGGCACTCACTCAGCCCGAGGCAGACAACAGCGAGGACTCGTCCCCAAAAAAAAAAAAAAGAAACAGGTATCCAGATAATTATTGGGTCTACATTGGTGGCTTCTGTACAGGAGTTCAGGTTATTAAAGTGGGGTTGGTGTTTAGATGTTCAAGTGGGAGGGAATACCTGTTCAGGTGTTTAGGTATTCTCGTGGGCTGCATAGGGGGCACCTATGTAAGGTGTGTGGGTGGGCGCAGTGGGAGACACTTATTTGGGTGTTTGGGAAACAATCTGTCCAGATATTTAAGTGCTTAGGGGCCTGTCCAGGTGTTCAGGTACTTAGGTGGGTCGAGTAGAGGACACTTGTGTAGATGTCCCAGTGGGCTGGTTTTGGACACCTGTGTAGATGTGAAATGATTTTGGTGTTCTGGATTTTGTAGCACTAGGTATTCAGGTATGTGTGAGGTTGGTTAATGTGGTCACTTTCCCATGCATTAAGATATTCAGAAGGCCTGACTAGGGAACATCTGCTGTTAGACAATAAGGTAAGTTGGGATGGAAACACCTGCCCAGGTGAGAGACCAGGTTTAGGGTATGTATCAGGCTTGCAGACTTTGTTTTTTGGGGGGTAAAATCTGTCGATATATCCAGGTGACCTTGGAGACTGAGTAGTGGGCACCTATGTTGGGCTGTGAGGCACCTGTTCAGTGCTGACGATTGGGGGCTGATCTTGAGGGGACACTGTCTGCAGAAGGATGGAAGTTTGGAGCACCTGTCCCCATGTAGGGGAGCAGGGGCAGGTTGTGGCAGGGACATAGTAGGGCTGTGCTGGAACAGGTTACCTGTCCCGCAGATGTAGCTGTGAACTCAAGGCTGCCCTTCATCATACCCAGCAGTGACAGCAGCTCTTTGTTCTCATAGTGGAAGCGGTCCCCAAAGGCAACAGTGCTAATGACGTTGCAGAAGGCTTGGCTCAGGAAGAAGGTGGGATCCACGAGGGCGCCTGCGGGTGGGGGCGGGGCGGGCGCAGGGAGAGAAGGGAATGGGAGGGAGGGGTGAACTGGGCGGGCTGATGCCAGTCTGAGAAGGGAACGGCTGGGATGGGCCAAGTTCCCAGCTCCAGGTGCCGTTCCCCTGCCCGGTCCCCGTGCCCCGCCAGAACGCGAGCTTCCCGGCGTCCTCCTTCTCTCCCACCCCGCCCCGGGGCCCCCTGCGCTCACCGCGCGTGGCCCTGAACGCCTCGATGAGGAAGCCCGCCTCCTCCTGGATGCGCTCCTCGATGCCGCGCTTGCCCACGCCGAAGTCCCGCAGCGTGGTGATGGAGAAGCGCCGCAGCTGCTTGGCGCGCTCGCCGTTGCTGAACGCCACGCCTGGGGGGTGAGCACAGGGGTGCCGGCGGTCGGGGACCCGCGGGGGCAGGACCCAGGCCAGTTCCAACAGTTGCAAGGGCCTCCCGAGCGCGGGGGCCGTGGGGGCGTGCAGAGACAGAGGGAGCCAGAGAAAATCGCAGGAGGCAGGCAGAGGCGAGACAGACGCACAGACGGGGCGGGCACTCGGTGCAGGAGGGGGGAAGGGAAGAGGCAGGGGTGGAAAGAGGGTGGAGGATGGAGGCAGAGGAGGTGAGCCATGTGGAGATCTGGGAGGTGCAAGTGAAAATGGGGAAGGACCCTAAAAGTGAGCTGGAGAAGAGAGAAAACTAGGGAGAAAGAGGGCTGGAAAGCGGAGGGGTTGTTACCAGGCGCTGGGGGCTTGGGGGTTCAGAAGCAGGAATCAGGGGAGATTCTGAGGCAGGAGAAGGAGAAAGGGAGGGCAGGAGGAGATAGAGGAACGTGGAGAAGCACAGAAGCTGGGAATGACAAAGTGACAAACAGAGATGGAGGAGGAGGGTTTGAAAACAGAAATGTGCACAGGTGGGAGGAGACGGAGCCGTAGGGGAAGGGAGAGAGCTCTGTGAGTGGACAGGGCGACAGGGCCAGAGAGAGGCAGGGAGAAATGGGGACTTGGAACCTGAGACAGGTGAGTGACAGAGACACAATGATGGCTTATGGGGAGGGAGCAGATGAAGGGCTTTGCCACAGGCTGGAGTGGGCAGGTGAGTGGGGCAACTGAGGCCATCCAGTGTGCCTGACCACATTCCTCCCCCAGGGGCCCCCTTACCATAGCCTTTGAAGAGCCAGTCGAAGGTGGCCTGCTCGCCTCTCCCGCTGAACTCCTCAGCCTGGTCCACCAGGGCCTCCTTCACGGCGTCATACCCGCACAGCACCACGACCCGCCGGGGCCCCAGGTGGACGGTGAACACGGGGCCATAGCGCTCGCTGATCTGGGGGTGTGGGTGGCAGTGGTTACAGGAGCACCCTGCTCCGGATGGGCAGGTACTGAGCCATCACGTCCTGGGATGCATTGCCCCAGTCAGGGCAGGGGGTGTGTCAAGCCCTGGGCTTTCCTGGCTAGGACTCTGAGGCTGAACCTTCCAAACTTCCCTTTCTTAAGACTCTGGTCCAACCTGGTCCAACCCCTGCCACGAAGCCCCAGCCCTCCTGGGAAGCCCCTGTCCCATTCCCCCCAGGTCCCTGCCTTGTGCCACCTTCATGAGGGAGTTGTACATCTGCTCTGTGTTCAGCTGCAGGTAGTTCCCAAGGAAGGGCAGTGGGGTAGGTCCTGGAGGCAGCTTCCCCCAGATCTTCCTCTGCCGCCAGACAGACAGCAATGCCATCACAGTCAGGCAGGCCAGCAAGGCCACCAGAAGCAGCCCGGAGGCCAGCATGGTGGCAGTGAGACTGATAGTCAATGGCGATGGCTGGGGTCATTTGCCTTTATACTACTGACAGAGAAGGGTGGACTTTGGTTGATTATGCAACTATGTAAATTCACCCTAAAACACCCCACACCATGCACCCTCCCTAGCCTGGGACACAGCCAGAAGGGAGGTGACAAGGGATCTCAGGACAGATTAACAAGGAGTTGGCCTCCCCACTGTGATGTGGCTCCTAAGGACCGGGTGCTCCAAGGCTCTGGACTTAGGAAGGGGCAGTGGGTAACGCAGAAGTGAAGACTTTGGAACATTTGCACAGGGGAGCGCCTGCGCTTAGGATTTGGGGTCTCAGAGTGAGGAGGAAACCCAGAGCTGTGGGTTTTGGGGTTCCAGGAGAGAAAAGTGCACAGTTCCGGATTTTACTGGGGTGAGAGAGGAAGTAAGTGTACTTCCGGGATGTGGGTTTAAGGGTCTGGGGGGTGGGGGAGAGATTCCAGGGACATGGATTTGAGTCTTGGGGCAAGGAAGGGCCCAGGGCCCTGTGTGTGGAGTTCCTGGGAGGAGGAGTGTATAGAGAGCCCGGCAGGGTCCTGGGGTCGGCACTGGACCCCAGGTGTGGACTTGCTCTTGCTTTGGGCGCAGTACTGTCTCTGTCATCCCAGAATCCTCGCTGGAACCTCAGAGGCCAGGATACGTGCAGAGCCCATCTGTGGTCAGGAAAGTGGTAGAAGAGCAGAACCCCATTTCAGTGGAACTTTCCACAGACCTGGATAAGAGTAACTCATCATCTCAGTTGACAGGGAGTCTGGGCAGGTCTTGCAAAATAGTGATAGCAACCAACCATGCGGCGGAGAAATCCCCACGTATCCCAAGGGTTATAACTTACCCAGAGCCACACTCACTGAGATCCATAGGGAAACCCAGTAGATGGATCATATAATTTCTATTATTATTATTATTAATGTTCCTTATTTTCTATATGTGTATAGGGAGAACAGAAAGCAAAGAGTGAGTAGGGGGCACACGTGTGAGATGCCCATAAGCCAAGGGCCTTGAACTCCTACCTCTTCTACTCGGCATTCTTAGTTTCCACATTCTGGGTTTGGTTTCCCCACCAGGGGAAAGGGGGGGTTGGGAAGAGATGGTCATACTTGAGGGTGTGTCAAGCTTCCTTTAAGGGTGACTCCTGGTTTGTCAGGGGGTACTGTTAGTAGGTAGAGGGAACTATAGCAGAAGAGATTTGGGTAAACCGAGGTGTTGGGAACGAGGTGGACCATGGGATGGTGGGAGGAGAGGAAGGATGAGTGGCCTACCATCCTTCCTGCAGGGAATTCTTCCGTGACCACAAGGACGGTTGCCCTTTGGTGAGCACCTGTCCTCCAGGAAGATGAAGCCTCTATGTGTAAGATCTCACTTCATCTTTGTAACAGTGAGGTTGGTTCTTCATCATCCTCGTTTGAGAGATGAGCAGACCAAGACTCTACAAAGCGACTTGTTTGAGGTCACACGGGCAGTCGGTGAGGCAGCTGGGATGTGGACTCTCTCCCTGTCTCCCGTCATCGACTGGCCTCATTCATCTGGGAGTGGAGTGGAGACCAAGTTCAGCAGCAGGTGCTGGATGGGCGTCAGCAGTGGACGCAGGGCCACACTGGCAGGTTCTGATGTCAGCACCAGGCAGGCCAGCGAGGAAGGGGCATCATGTTGACACTGAGATTTCCCCAGGTGTGTACTAGGATGAGAAACAAATTGACACTGGACTTGATACAAGGAGAAAATTAGTAGAGCCACCTCTGGTACAAAGAGGGCTCTGAGGGTTGGCCTAGGAGGTTGACGTCAGGAGGGCATAAGAGTGGTACCATATGGGGTGTGAGGTTCGTCCCAGCAGGCTGTGACATGAGCATTAGGTTCATGTTGAGCATGTTCCATTGTGGGCCTGAATTTGGCCTCAGCGAGACCCTGAGAGGGGCTCTCCATGGGCATTGAGCCAGCTCTGATGGTTGGAGTTTTCAGCTTTGCACCCAATATATATAGAAAAAATTAGCCGGGCATGGTGGCACATGCCTGTAGTCCCAGCTACTCGGGAGGCTGAGGCAGAATGATTGCTGGAGCCTGGGAGTTTGAGGTTGCCGTGAGCTAGGCTGATGCCAGGGCACTCTAGCTTAGGAAACAGAGTGAGACTCTGTCTCAAAAAAAAATAATTGCAAAATGTTCACAATATTGCCTGACACAGAGAAAGGAGTTAATAAAGGTCAGCTATGTTCGATGTTTAAAGAGTGCACAGTGCTAATATTTAACCTACTTATGACATTATTTACTCTTTGAAGCTGGTAAATCCATTTTTTTTCTGGTGATAACCAGCCTGTGAAATCAAAGTGCATTAAAACTAGATAGCATATCATTTATTTTCCACACTTGGGTTGTTTTGAGAGTTAAACAGGAGCAGTGACTTAAGGCCTTTAATCCGAACACTTAGGGAGGTCGTCGATGGAGGATCGCTTGAGCCTAGGAGTTCGAGGTTGCAGTGAGCCACGCACTCCAGCCTGAGCAACAGAGCAAGACCATGTCTATATTAAAAAAATGAAATTTAAAGAGGTGCAGGCTCAGTGTGGTGGCTCACGCCTGTAATCCTACACTCTGGGAGGCCCAGGTGGGAGGATCTCTTGATGTCAGGAGTTTGAGACCAGCTTGAGCAAGAGTGCAACTCTGTCTCTACTAAAAATAGAAAAGATAATTGGCCGGGCATGGTGGTGCACGCTTGTAGTCCCAGCTACTTGGGAGGCTGTGGCAGGAGGATTGCTTGGGCCCAGGAGTTTGAGGTTGCTGTGGGCTAGGCGGACGCCACGGCACTCACTCTAGCCTGAGCAACAAAGCGAGACTCTGTCTCAAAAATAAATAAATAAATAAATAAATAAATAAATAAATAAATAAAATGAGGAAACATTTAAAAAGTAAGCATGGCCAGGAGTGGTGGCTCACGCCTGTAATCCTAGCACTCTGGTAGGCTGAGGCAGGTGAATTGCTCAAGGTCAGGAGTTAGAAACCAGCCTGAGCAAGAGCAAGACCCCCGTCTCTACTCTAAATAAACAAATTAATTGGCCAACTAAAAAATATATAGAAAAAAATTAGCCAGGCATGGTGGCGTGTGCCTGTAGTTCCAGCTATTCGGGAGGCTGAGGCCGCAGGATTGCTTGAGTCCAGGAGTTTGAGGTTGCTGTGAGCTAGGCTGATGCCACGGCACTCTAGCTCGGGCAAGAGAAGTGAGACTCTGTCTCAAAAAGAAAAAAAAATAAGCAAAGTATCTGAACAGATATTTCTCCAAATAAATAAACAAAATGGCCAATAATCAAATGAAAAAAATGCTAGATATCATTAGCTATTAGGGAAAATGCAAATCAAAACCGCAAGGAGATGCCACTTCCCCCGCACTAGGGTACAATTGTCTTCTGCCAGGTATAGTCTATTCTTAAAGGTTTCCACTGTGTTTTATATTTGCTTAAATAAATTTTTCATTTTAAGAAGTTTCAGTGCTCTTTGTTTTTTTAAATAGTCTAGATCTTTGGTAAATTTTTCATTTGTTTCCTGAATTTGTTTTCTGGTTTCATTAAGTTGGTTTTCCATTTTCTCTTGGATTTCATTGAAATTCCTTACAATCCTTATTTAGAATTCTTTATTTGTCATTTTAATATTTTCATTCTCATTGGGATCCATTGAGAGAGGCTTGCTGTGCCCTTTTTGGGATGTCCTTTAGCTCTGATTTTTCATTCTGCTGGAATTCTTACACTGGTTCCTCATCTGGAGTAGCTATTGCTTCTTGTCTTTGGATTTTCTTTTGTTTAGATGTAGATTTTTCCCCATTAACTCTTTTTTTTTTTTTTTTTTTTTTTT